TTCTTTCTTTAAGTGGACTATATCAATATGCTAATGGCTATATATCTTATTTACTATATGCTCAAACTTTGATTTTTTTGTATTATTTTATAATTCTTTTATTAAGATTTTTTGTTTTTTGTGAGGCTTACGCTTCAATCTACTTCGAGGCTTACGTATCGCCTCGTAAAGAAAAACCGTCTCAATATTTAGTTTCGTCTTTTTAAACCTTGGTTATTATCAACATATTTTTCTTCTTATGTATTTCTTCTATACGATAATAACTCAATTCATTTTATTTGCAGCTTGAATTTAGAGGTTTCATTGGTAAAAAGTGAAAAAGATGGGGGTGAAGATAGCAAATGATGCTCTAATAAATCCTGTGCTCGCTGTAGAAAAGGTAAAAGAACAAAAAAACTCGACAGTGGACAAATGATAAAATAATGGAAAATTGTGTAAGTGTTACCTTTTTGAATTTCTAACCTATGTAAGGAAGAATATATAAATAGTTTAATTTATAAATAGATAGAAATGAGTTGTGGACAAATGGCAATACTTGTGAGTCCATTGAAATCTGTGATTGAAAATGAAGTATGACCATTTTTAAATGATTTATGAATTTTGCCAAATGGAGGCTTAAAATGGGTTTTATTTTACAGGGTATTTCTGAAGAGGAGGATATGAATGTAATGAAGTACATGAGAGGTGAAGCTGCTAATTTGGAGGTATGAAAGCATTGTCTATATTTTTACTCATCTTTTTTGGTTGAATGATTTTTGGCGAGTGTTTAGATTCCTAGTTCTATTTTTTACAGGTTTTACAAGATAAAAAATTGAAGGGTCACCTACAGGGCCGGCCCTGAGAATTTAGATGCCCTAGGCGACTAATTATTAAGGTGCTTCAACATAATTCCATCCAATTAAAAATCCAATTTCTCTTCCCATTACGAGGAAATTGCCTTATTTTCTGCCATTTATCAGTATCCTTGACAAAAATTGAAAGCACATAATATTTTAAACAAAAATCAACACCTGTGAACAATAATTTTGCTTAAAAAATAAAAATATACTAACATATTGCAACTATCAAAGAGATGGAAACATACTACACACTGAATTTTTTTATCTATAAAACTTTTACCTCTATTGCATAAAGATTATTAATAGAAATGATCTCCATAAAAAAGTCCTAATCGTATTCATAAGGTTACAGTGATTAAAATTAAATGAAAAAAACTGATAAATCCGGACCCCAAAAACCAGAAAAATTCTCTAAAACTAACATTCATGATGAACGCAAAAAACCCATATATAGATACATACAAAAGAAAAGATTGTGCAAGGAAAAAACATGTTCATACCCCTCTGATTCTGGTCTGTTGAAGTCTCGAAGAAGCCGAGAAGATGAAGAAGACCGAAGAGTTGGAGATGGTAACAAGCAAGGAATGAGGCATTTGAGGTGTTTTTATTTGGGGCTTTTGGGGGGCTTTTTTGGGCACTTTACTATTTGAGGCCCAAAGAAGTTGCTTGGGTTTTTTTTCCGGAAAAATTCATATATACATCAATACAAAAAATTAATTCACATTTTACTATGACAACATATTATTAACTAAAAATACTAGATTGATGGTTAAAAATGGTTGAAATACTAGCTGCCAAAAATAAATCCCAAACCAGAATTGGTAACTGGTGAAATATTAAATGCCCTCTTATCACGTAATTACATTAACTAACTTTCCCTAAAACATAATTTAATAGAAAATAGGCACTCCATGATGAACGTAGACATTCATTTCATGCTTATCCCAGTGTCAAAAAATCACAGCTTCTGAAATAAA